AACCTATCTTGCTAACTCCCCCAGCCCCACGCACATATCAAACGACAAAACATCACCACCACAGCCATCGCCATCTCGGGCTTCCTCACAGCACTAGTGGGCCTCATATTCGCCATCCATCTCCCGGGCTCGAACCCCCCAAGCGGGTTCTCGGAAGTAGAAACGCTCCATTCATGGACCTGCAAGTGGAAAACGGTGCATGGGCCGCTGTCGTCGAAGGTAGATGACACCGTCACCCCGCCGCCGGCTCGTTTTGCGCGTGACTGTGAGCTCACCCGGGCGTCGTTTGTCCTGACAGGACTGGCTGTCGGGCTGGCGATCCTCATGGGGGTGGCTGCTGGTGTGGGGGTTTGGTTTGAGAGAAGTGTCTCCCGGCAACGGGGACAGGATACTTCTCCGCTGCAGAAGGTGGATATCATGGCGAAGTATCCGGGTACTTGAAGGTTATGTGTTGGTATTGGTTCGGGGTTGGGTGTTGGCACATACTGCTGGGTTCATTGTTGTGCTGGGGGGAGGGGTTTAGTTAGGGTTTTAGTCTATGTCGCTTGTCTCTGGTTAGACATATGTATGTGGAGTAATTCCTAGGATTATGTGTATTTCTTCTGGTGTTTGTCGGTTTGCAATGTATACTATGTTCAACATGTAGTCAATCACCCTAGGACTGAGATCTGATATACAGTTCTCGCTTGCTTCCTACTATACCATCCACTCAATAATAATATTCATATAAGCTTTCTTTACAATCCTAATTCCTAGATCTTAAATCCTAAATCCTAGTTCTAAATCCTAGCCTTTAACCTCAAATCCTCAAAAGGCAGCCCCAAAAACTCCCACATAAAATGCCACCGATCACTCCCAAAGAACGGCTCCCCCTTTCCCTCGCCATTCACGACCCAGAACCACGGGCACCCAAACGCGCCCAGCTCCTTCACGGCTCTCTCCGTCGTGGCCGCCAGCTCAGCCTTGACCTCAGGCGAGCCCGCAGCGGCGATAATCTTCTCGACTTCCTCAGCACCGAACACAGTCCCGAGAGCCCGGGCCAGATTCTCGGGCTTGGAAATGTCCAATTGGCCCTTCCACATCGTCTCGAAGCAGCTCTGGAAGGCCGCTGCGAGGGTTTGCTTGGGGTGGGTGTTTTTGATGTGGGTTAGGGCTCTTTGGGGCTGGATTTGTATTCTGTTAGTCTGCACTTCCTTTTCTGGTTGGGGTTTCAGGTCTGTATATATTGTGCTGGGTAGTATAGTGTATAGTATATCCAGTACTGGCAAAGATAAAGATAAACCTACCAAAAGGGACAGAATAGGGAACCACGGCGGAATCTCGAAATCATGGCCGAAGTATTTCTGGGCCCGTTTGCCGTCGTACTTTGAGTAGGCGGCTTTGGCGGGGAGGGTCCAGGGGGGTTTGTTTCCTTTTTGTTTTCCAATTCCGTGCTTAGTGAGGTGTTGTTTTACTTCTCTCTCGGTCGGTAGTGGGAATATATATATGTGTGTGTGAAAGAGAAAGAGAGAGGTGTATAGAAACCTACCACTGCCTACATTAATCCCGCCCAGAAAGACGGGGATATACCTACGAGCAAAAATCAGTATCAATCCAGCGCATTGGAAAGAGTAATAGAGTATAACATGTTACATACTCAATCTCCACGCCCAGGCTCTCCAACGCAGCGGCATTCTTCTGCAGATACGTGAAGGCGTAGAAGCTGTATGGCGACACTTTTCATGTGATTGCTATCAGCGATTGATTCAGGTTCAAAAGGTGGCTGTTTGGTATAATGGCCTACCGCAGTCTAAGTAGCATTCGATTTTCTTGCCCATTGTTCTGGTTTCCCGGGTTGAGTGTGTATGGGAGTTAGTTGGTGGGTTTGAACTTTGGGGTGGGTTATGGGGAAGGTTTTAAGCTGTTGATTTATCGGCGGGGATGATATGCCGAGGATGTTTGGTGGTCGTTTGGCCGACGGCGGGTCGGCTTGGTGCTGGTTTACCACAACGTGGTATCTGTATTAACTGGATGTTATTTTATGGGATGCAGTAGATGGGGGAAGGGGGGGGGGGGGTATATTTAGGTTAACTTGAGTCAGTGTGGTCTTCATCTATACGGTGCTTATCATGCATTCAATGGTAAGCTGGGCTCTCCGTGCGAATTACTTAATGGCTATAGAAAACAATTCAATAAGATATATATATCGACGCTACTAAAGTAATTCAATCTATCTACATCTTCGCCCGCAGCTTCGTACTGTCCATCCTCATCCCCTCGTCATCCTGCTCGGCTACTTCCAGCACTGGCAGCTCCTTTGGCATGATGCGTCGTGGATTGGAACCCGGGACCACCGAGTACTTCGAGAAATCCGAGACTCCGCAGTATTGGCGCAGGAAGTCCTCGTCGAGCGCCAACATTCCGTTCACGGTCGCTGCAGGCGTCTTCAGAATGCCAATAACGGCGTCGGAGAATACAGTCTGCGTTGTCTGGTTAGAGATGTGATACAGGAATGCTGTCAATGAACATACCGGCTTCCTAAGGTCGGCTTTACGAGAAGGGTCCTTCGACGTAGTCATTTCCGTCGCAGCTGATTCGGTGCTCTGCATAAATAAGTCGTAATCCACAACCAATTTCCGTAGGGAAGTGACATACCGTAGCTGGCCAAAGACTGGTAATCGCCATATCCTTATGACCCTGTCTCACAAAATCCATCGCAAGACCACGAGTAAGAACGCTCATACCGACTTTGCCTGCGGAGTATCAGCATTAAATATTCCCACCGTAACTGAATACCGACAGTAAGCAACATACCCATGGCATAGGCCGTCTTCCCCCTAAAAAACCTCGAATAGATAGGCGGCGACACAACAATAATACGTCCCTTCCACCCATTCCTCTCAAACTCAGGCAGCGCTGCCTGCACGCTAGCATACAATCCCTCAGGGTTGACCCGCTGCATAAGCTGAAACCGCTTCGTGGGCGTATTCGCGATGGACGACCACCAGATTGCGCCGGAGTTGTAGACAAGCACGTCTAGTCTTCCCGCAAGACGCACGGTTTCTTTCACCATGTTCTCAACTTGGGAGACATCGCGGACATCAACCTGGATCGCGAAGGCTTTGCCGCCGGCTTCTTTGATCTCACGCTCAACAGTGGCGATGGTTGATTTGTTGGAGTTGGGGTCTGGTGGGAACGGGACTGTCTCATAGGCGTTGGATGTGGTTTTGGCTGCCACGGCGACTGGGTTTCATTAATTGTTGGTTTTTCTTGATTGGCGACTGTGAAGGACTTACCTGTGTAGTCGTTCTTTGCCAGGTCAATGGCGATTTGACGGCCTAGGCCCCGCGAGGCGCCAACGACTAGGGCAACTGGCTTGGGTGATGTCATTGTTGAAGCTTGACTTGTGGTCTTGTGGTAGGCAATTGTAGATTCCTCTCAAGGTCGCGCAGCTAATCTACTTATATACGATCATGGAAGTAATGTAAGTATTTAATCCGGGATCCATTCACCTCAGTTTTATCCTCGGGACGTGGGCTTGGTTTGTCATTCTTGGATCCCTGACCGATTTGTTAGATGCCGACCCGAGCTCGGCTCGGCCCATACAACAACATTATTAATCTCCACGGCGAGTAGTTAGACTATACATGATATTGTCACATATTCGCCGCGCCAATTTTAACCGCTTTGATTTTGAAGGCTTGCATTTGAGTGTTACTGCAGCTGAAATACTGCCTATACCTTACCTACTCTAATAGCCGGTGTTCGAGAGACCTTCCAAGAAACTTTAGGCCTCTCAATATCGCCCAGGGGAATGCGAACAATTTTGAGAACTTCGACGGCGTCTCAGTTGAAAAAGTACTGTGCAGTATTCTACTAGCCTGTCTTGTAAAGTTGTCCTCGATGCTCGTTTTGGTTCGTCGTCTGGAAAGATAGGGGATCCAAGTCCACCTGTCGTCCTTCCCAGCAACCAAAAACAGATTGTAATTTGCACGAGCGGAAACAACAGCGTCAGGATCCAATGTTGCTTAAGACACACATTGCCTCTCAGGATGGCCTTCAGTGGCAATCTTTCGTCGCTCAACTCAAGCATAGCCGTAGAAGCGTTATGCCGTCGATCCTTACTGATGTGCGACGATTCATGCTTGGACTTTTGCGCCCAGAGCCCAATTGAAGCGCAAACTTTGTTTGATAACCGCCAATGTGTCACGAAGAAAGGCCACTGATACGGCTCTTAGATACATTCCGAGTAGGTAGATGTACCACTCAAAGTAAATTGAGTTCTAAACACCCCGATCGTCAGGTCCCATTGTCGGTCCCCTGAGAATTCCCAATTCGGATAATCTCTCGAAGATTTTGCAACACCGCGGTAGGCTCGCAGCTTTCTAGCGTATCTTCAGGACCGCCTTGGGAGATATCATCGACGCTACCGGGAGTAGCACTAGAGACAGACCCAAAACGCACATCTCCTACTCCACGGGATGCAATATCCGAGCCTTGAGACTGAAGCAAGGCCGTTTGTCGCCTCTGAGTTTCTCGCGCCAGGATCTGGAATACAACCCTGCTCTGCGGAAGGACAACCTGTTGTAGCTTTGGCCGTTTGAATGATGTTGGTCTCCGAGGTGCTTGGGGGTCGTCTGGTTTGTCCCCAAGTGCACGTTTGCGACAATCTTCCACGGCGACTGACAGTAGTCTGTTGAAATGCTCTGGAGTTGTCATTGTTTGGAAGAATTCTAAGAATAGCGTTGCGATGGGCCATGTCTTGGACAATGCCTCCAGTATTTCGAGACTGGATTCCAGTTTCAGTCTGATACCATGTAGGAGAGATGGTAGTGAAGCATCCATTTGATGTTTCAAGGTAACGATGGACGTTACGGCGTGACAGATTCTGTATACTTGTTAGGAAAATGTAATATGATACGAGTGTGCACGGACAGCATACACGAACGTAGGTGAGTATTGAAGCTCATTATGCGAGAGAAGCATCTCCTGGATTGAAACTATGGTCGACGCAGCGTGAAACGCCGAGCTCTGGGATTCATTGGATGAATACGGGGCCTGCAGTAAATGCAACTGGCATACGATTGTGCTGGACACTGTTAGCACACCACAAGCTTTCTAGGCAATAGACAACTTACTAGAATGTGGAGAATAGTATCGCTGACAGAAATGTGTGGCGCGTCTGCCTCCAATGTAGCTCTGGCGGACAAGCTACGAGCCATTCATTCAAACCAAGCTCGCATTGCGCAGCTCCGACACTCCGGGCAGCTTGAGTGGATCTTGCCGACAGATTCAAGCATAAACCTAGATCCATAAGTTGGCAGAGTTTGACATACTCCATAAAGAACCTAGCTTGAACTTCACTTTTCGGCCCAGATGAAGCATCTCCATCATGCTCGACAAAGTCACTCTCTGTCAGCGGCTCTACTGTGCAGTCGCTTGGATTAATATGCAATGGCCTGCCAAACGCCGCAGCCACGGAGCGGTCTCGGGTATACAATGTCCACCATATCCGTTTGCGGAGGCCTCGTTGTGAGGGTTGGAGGTCAGTGTATATTTCACTGTTTCACTTAGTTCGGATTCAAAATCACTGGTTGCAGATTTTACCTCTCATGTAGTCCAAGCTCCTGTGCCAAAGCAATACCCAGCCGGCTCCAGTAGAATATTCCACTTTCAGTAAGATCTTTGAGCAGTCAACACTACTGAAAGATGAATCAAGGTGACTGTGAAGGCATACCGTCAGGACCTTCCCAGTAAGCACCTAGCAAGATCACAGATTGAACGACAGTTATCTGGTTGGTTTCATAACCAGCGTCATATAGTGCCTTAGCTTTCTTATAGAACGTGCGCGGCGACACGGTATACTCTTTTGAGCCCTGCTGGTTGGTAGAGCATCGAGATGCAACCATGAGCATCGCCTGTAGCAGTAGAATTGACGGTAGATCTTCCGCGCTGTTATACTGCCTCATGAAAGCATGACGGTCTACCACCGGCAGTATTGGCGCTATCCATTTGAAGAATACGTCTACAAGCGTATCCTGGACAGCTTTAGGCGGGAGACCAAAGGCATCCCGACGGTGTAGAATTTCGAGTTCAAGCGGCTCCAGATGATCGGGATGGCATATTGAATGGTATTGTGCCATAGAGACCTATTATTGATAAATCAGTCGAAGAAGCATGAAAGGCGCCGAAAGTGAAGTTGGACTTGATCATGTCTAGTCTGCTTATCGACCTTCATATCAGACACCTCGGCTCAATCCTGATTGGCTGGAATAGATTATACGGCCCAGTCGACAGTTAATATCTCACCGCCCTGGCAGAATTTCTTCCATTCTCGCGCCTGTATGAGTATCACCTTTCCTATACTTTGCGACTCATTCTAATTCAGTTGAAAGAAATCTCTTTCAGGCCACAGAATCATGTCGGCCGATCCAGCTACATTACAGGACCTCGACCTCGAGGACGAGCAGTACGACTCCGCCGATGACGAAGACTTCCAAGTAGACGCGGCCCAAGACGACGATGGCCTCACCGGTTCCGATAGCGACGAGGAGGCCGCAGAACCCGCGGCCAAAAAGCGCAAGACGGGAAAGAAGGCACCGGAGCAGGAAGACAACGGTCTCGACTCGGGCGACGAAGTGACGATTCAAAAGGCCAAGGCAAAGAAGGCGAAGAAGCAGAAAGGAAAGGACGATGAGGATGATGTCGATTTTGACGACGATGAGGGTGGCCCTGGCGGCTTCGTTCGGACACGAGCCATGAAGATGCGAGCGTGCGCTCCCCTTCTTCTCTTCGTTGTTGCGTCCGATTGGTACTGACTTTGCCGTTGTATAGCCAGGAAGAGCGGAAACCTCTCGCGAAGATCGATGGAGCAACTGTCGACGTGGATGCGCTGTGGGAGAAGATGAATGCCCCTGATACGACCCCGGGTCTCCCCCCCTCGCAGGCAGAGAAGAAGAACGATACCCCGGTCGAAGAGAACAAAGACGCGGAGATGCGTGATGGCGGAAACCCCGTCACTGAGGAAAAGCGACAAGCGAGTCAATACTCGGAGGAGATGGTGAAGATCAAGCGTACTTACAAATTTGCGGGCGAATGGATTACGGAAGAAAAGATCGTTCCTAAAGATTCAGCGGAGGCCAAGCTTTATATGGCCAACGAAAAGGAAGTCGAAACAGTGACGGCCGCCGAGAACGCCGCAGGTTCTAAAGAAGCTATCAAAATCCGCAGACCCCTTCGAAAGGTCTCCCGCTTTGACCCGAACCCAACTGGATCTATCAAAAAGAGCTGGGAGAAGCAGCCTGTCGCGGAAACTACAGGAGAAGAGAGTGCTCGTGGTCCCAAGATCAACACCGTCGAGAAGTCGCGCTTGGATTGGGCTGCGTACGTCGATCAAGCCGGCATCAAGGACGAGCTCAGAACCCACAGCAAGGCCAAGGAAGGTTTCCTTGGTCGTATGGATTTCTTGGATCGTGTTGGTGCCAAGCAAGAGGAAGAGAGAAGAAACGCGCGTTTGAAGGGGTTATAAAGGACTTTTCGAACCTCTTCCTTCTGCGTACAGATTCGTCTGAATTGGAACTGCTTTGCGATATTCAACACGACTAAACACCGGGTCCATTCAACTTGCGTTGCCCTCTCCAGCTTCGAAAGAAGATCGGTATACATAAGACGTTCCGCGGGATTGTATGACGAATACCTAAACCCTCGTTGCTCATATGGGCGATGAGCTTGCTGACCATCAGCTCAAAGGATATCCGTATGTGCGTCGTCTGCTGCTGTTGAGCGGTAGGAGTCAACTCAGGCTAGTAAAGGCGCACATATCGCACATGCAGCTACCCTACACTTATAGGGACGTCCAATTCATTTCGGACAGTCATCGCTTGGTCAAAGCGATACAAACTCAAGAGAACAGTTGTATCAGGCTGATGGCCTTGAGGTCTCGCATCGCGTCAAGTACGATTCATCACATGTACGGCGCGATGGTACCAACACTGAACAAACTACTGCAAGGGCATTGTGACAAGTACACATAGCTCCACATATATCAAAGTCTCCTAATAATTATGTACATACATCATTGCACAACCTAACACTCCAGTATATATGCAATACTTGTAGGACATACAACTTCCATCTTCTAAACATCTTAGTTGAAGCGAACAGACTGGCCAGCCTTGCCACCACGGAATTTCCAGGCTGGCGCGGTGGAGTTCTCGCCCTTCTTGGGCAGGTACTTAATACCAGAGGAGGAACATTTAGTAGACGTAACTGGCACCGAATTAGCTCACTTGACGGCACATAATAACGCATAGACTGGAGACACTTACGGGTGTCAATTGGCTGGTACTCGCCGGTGATCGCATTGCCCTTGGTGTTATAGAAATACCAAATCTCGTTCAGCGCACCGTCTTTGCAGCCGATATAGGGCTTCTTGCCATCATGAATCGCAGCAAGAGCAGATTCGATCTCACTTCGTTCGTAGGTCTTGGAGGCATGGGGGACGATACCGGCTTTGGCGAGAGCCTGTGGTTGTTAGGCATGGTTTCAGAAGATCGAAGGGGAGAAATAGACAGGGATTAATCAAAGAGAGGGGGAAGAGAGAAGAGACAAATGAAGAGGAGAGGGATATGACAAACCTTGTAACTATCCAGACCTTTGAAAAGGTCTACGGTCTTCGCCAAATAATCAACCACTTCCTTCTGCGGGGCGTAATCTTTGTAGCAGCTTGGTTCAATGGTGTTGATACAGGTACCTTTTTGATACACGGAGTTAGCAATCAACGAGCCTTAGAGCGGCGCGCTATAGCCTGTAGTGTAATTGATGCTTACCGTGCTTGTTCCACTCGTGCTCCCAGAATTCTTCATCCTCGCCTTCATAGTTGGGCCAGTATTTCTTCATGTAGGACAGAAGTTCGGTCTGGCCCTGCTCCTGAATAATTGCGGTGATGTTCGAGTACTCCCGCGACTTGTCGCAGTACTGCTCGTAGCTGCCATCGCAGTTATCAGGCCTAGATATTGTCAGTTTTACGCACCGTGTATGATGGTTTCAGCACTTACCAGAGACCGTGGATGGTCCAGGAGTCGGAGGGACCAGCTGGAGGATCTGTGTCCCAGAACTGTGTCTGCAGGAGGGCACCTCCCGGCGAATTGAGACAGCAGGAGTCGGCTACTGCGGTCGAGTTCTGACAGCTGAAGGGAGTATCCTTCGGGCAGGACGGGAACTCAAACACTGCACCTGCAGCCAATTGCATGGCGCTAAGGGCGAGCATGCCCATAGATGGGAGGGAAGGTGTGGAAAGCATCGTCAAGGGAAATCAACGGATACAAGCCCTAGCGGGAGATGATGAAAAGAGATGGCAATGGGAGAGGCAGGCATTGCACCTATTTATTTAGCAGGCGCCCCATGTGGTCTACAAAGACCAAGAAAACAAGCGTGTTTATTGATTAGCAAGGAAACACTTCGCTTCGATCCACTGACTGTTGATAGCGGCACATGTCATGATAAGAGCGACCTGATTTGAGGGGAGATAGAATCGACCGGCCGATAATAAAAAGCAATGAGGATCGGACAAGACCGTCAAGACCCGCAAATCTCCTGATCCCGTTAGCCACTAAATATCGACCCCCGAGAGCTTGTAGCCAATTGCAGAACGTCTCGCGGGTTTGGAGTAACAACCCAGATGCCGTCGGGGCGCCTTCGGTCGAAAGCATAGGAGTGGACAGAAAAATCAGGGCAATGTCGATCGCGGACGATTGCTTGAGCACCATGTATCAGAACGTTGCATCGGCCAACTGCACCATTCGTACTCGCATCCTGCTTCGCCAGAGTTTACGAGCATTATGTCCCTGCACATCTCTTTTAATTAAACCGTCTGGTACACGTGTCTGTCGAATTGATGTGAAGGGCCGAATAAAACATCGGCCCGCCCTTTAGCTTCGGTCGAAAGAGCGAGCTAAAACAGAATGGCGGGGAGAAGAAAAGACGAATCAAATGGTTCCATAAGAATACAATCTCATTGGAGGTTATTTGTGTGACAATGCGCCCGTTAGGCAAAATGGCCATTCGACCTCCGAGAGAACAAGTGATGCAAAACTTGACAATCACAGTAACAGAGAGGTTTGTGTTCTTCGCTCTTGCATGCAACTTCTTGGGCGATTTTTTCCAATAAAAGACTTGGCGCAATAATATTGAGAGCAAAGGCCAGAGCGATCAACAGCTCTCGCCGAGACCAGTTTGTGGGTTCACATGCAACAAGATGACTGCAGCGAGATAGCGAAGAATCATGCCCCCACGTTTGACTGTATATGCGAATGTGTCAACCAAAGCAGTGGTCACCGAATATCACGGCAGTTAGAAGGCATCCTCATCTTCCGAACGAGTGCCCAACGAGCAACCGGTCAGTCCTTCGGTCGCTATGGAACCAACGAGGGGGGGGGACCACGCATTTAACAGCTGGCACTTCATCGGGAATCAGCAATTTCTATCTCACGATTGATGGGAGACAGAACATGATAAACTAATCCATATGTGACATTTTCAGTAACATTCGAGTCCCAGATTTCTGTCTGAGAATCTGGGAATTGTAACGAATCGACACTTGTTTCAACGTAAAACAACCAAGTCACAAAGAACGATGACTGTGTGGGCTCTGCATTTTCATGATGACTGCATACGCAAAAAGGGAGATGCTAGTCATATCTTCGCAAGTGCCTGCGATTAAAAAGTCATCATCAGATCTTTTGACGAGGAAACTTTCGCAAATATGATGAGGCGAGTCCGAAAAAGATGGATGGGGTGAGAGTCCAAGATAACGTGAATGGAGTAAGCGTGGTGTCGCGTGAGCTTTCTCTGCTGCCTTGACAGCCTGAGGCTGCCTATCAAAATGCCAGCCCCTCCCAAACACATTAAGCAACAAGAAACACAAGTTTGTGTTTTTCTACTTCACATTGGCAAGTGTATTTGCAATCATGCCTCATCCGCGGATAACCGCAAGACGGATGTGCCGATTGATTGAGTCATAGCACCGTCCGACACCGGAAAACCGTGCTGAGGTACTCCGTATAACGATGGAGAGGATGATGCTACAGGTCACAAATTGTGAGATCTGAGCCCAAAAACCGGGGCCACTGAGTTGAAGAATATCGGCTACCCATTCCACCAGTGGCAATACAGCACTCCTTTCCTTCAGGCCCAAGTTAACCCCCGCGATTGGGCGGCGTTCCGAGATTTCCATTCAGAATATCAAACTACAATGACGAGCAACAATCCACCATTTCGAATTGCCCCGGCGCATAGCACAGAACATTTCGAAGCAGCCAAAGCACTTTTCACATCGTATGCCGAATGGCTAGATCTTGATCTTACCTTCCAAGGATTCGCCTCCGAGCTACAGTCCCTTCCTGGGAAATATGCGGCACCCCATGGGGAATTATTACTAGCTTATAGTGCCGACGAGGGTATCCCGATCGGATGCGTGGCTGTCCGGCCTCTCAAGCAGAGGTCGGTAGAAATGCAAGGAGATGTTCAAAGCCATAGAGGATACTGTGAGATGAAGAGGCTGTATGTCTCTCCCGAAGCACGGGGGACAGGACTGGGGAAAGCTTTGGTGAATTCCATCGTGAAGAGGGCGAAGGATCTCGGCTATAAGATGATGATGCTCGACACCCTTCCCTCAATGATAGGGGCCATACAGTTATATAAGAGGGTGGGGTTCGTGGAAATAGCTCCTTATTATGAGACTCCCTTGGAGGGGACGCTCTTTCTCGGGTTGGATCTTACACAGAATATATAGACAAAACCCAGAATATCAGTCTGAAATGCTTGTCTGAAGAACAAGACCAGTAAACGCGCCCCGGGGGTAACCAGAGACAATAAATTAGCAATGCTTCAAGTCAGATACTCAATCTCCATGTCAAATAATTTCTCATCTTGGATGATGTCCCTATGAAAGAGTACAGAATACATCACACAACTACTTAGATTGACGAAACATCGAGCCAACACAAATAATGTACTGAGCAGTCATGTACTCCAACTCAAACCATTAATCTCAAGTATTGCGGTTAGGGCACTCATCGCAGATGCCTGCATTATACCAAGAGGTAGTAGCTTTCATAATCTAAGAGGCGATTCAAGCAAGTAGTATGTCTTCGTCTCTATGCAAAACCGTGTAGCGATTGTCGAGTCGACCTTGTACATAACTACATCAACGGGGCCAGAACTAAGTTTTTTATGATAAAGCAGTGCGAAACTTGGTATAATCATAGAGCTATATAACTATTCTATTGTTAGCGTTAACGAACATCAAGATATAGAAGACAAGACTTGTGAGGAATCTAGGGTTGTGAGCCAGCGAGAATATAGGAGTAATTTAGATTCTTCCTTGTTGGACTTATACTTGGTGTGCAAACTAGTAAGGGCGCTTGCATTAAAAGGGGTTATCGCTGAGAGGTCGTGATCATACCTTGATGATCGACTCCGGATGCTGTTTCTCTACGGAGCGGAGGAACATGACCGTAAGAGGACACCAAACATCAGGCAGGGACAAGTCCTCAACATGTGCCCCCAACGCGGCCAAGTGCACCTTCTTTTCGAACAAACAATCTCACCCAATTTGCCAAAGTCAAAGAGGTCAGGTCGGCAACTTCGAAACCCCACAAGTCCTCTCAAATCCTACCAAATGGCACACAAATATTGGGCGAGGGCAAGGCGAATAACCATGCTGAAGAAGAGGATCATCCCTCCATGCATATGATATCATATAATCAGACTATTAGCAAACCAGTTTCTGCAGGCGTGGTGAAACCCATCTCATCGGTATCCCAACACCTGGCTATTATTTGCTCATCGAACAGGGGGTCAGGAAATGATCTTTGCAGCGTGTCAAGTAAGGACGGGGAAAGGAGAAGCATTGATTCTGTTCTAGCAGGATTCCGGTGCAGATGGGTGTGAGGTCGGTGAGGGAAATTACTCAAATTCAAATCACCCTCACCTGACCTTGGCTGTGTTGTTGCCTGCAGGGTTTTGTCCAACGGCTCACTCGAATCACGCCGGCGGTAAGCCGTTTAGTGTATGGACTATTAGCACTACCACCACAATGGGTTGGCGGTATGGTTCATGCAAGGCTGCGCCCGCCCATGCTCAGCCGTTCTTTTTTCTTGGGATCGGAATTAGTTTTAGAAAAGCTTCCGCCGCATAATAAACTATCATCCGACATGACTTCGGAATTGTCGGATTGAGCTAAGAGAGCCAAGAGGTAGTATCCGAATGCCGCGCATTGTTACGGTGCTTAAGTGAACTCCGATAGCGAGGATAGTGTGGATGTCGTGAAGCTGAATATGTGGTGCAACTATCATCAAACCAAATCACACCGGAGGTTGGCCAATCAGTGGGGGCACAAACAAAAATGCGCATCGAAAATGCTACCATGACATGGGGTTGGAACCAAGTAGGACGTCTTAACCGTGGTTCATCTGTTCCTTGGAACCAAGGAATTTCGAAGGACTCGGTACCTAGTGGAGCGATGGTTACATTCCATGCACAGTATAGAATGTCCGTGCAGTGGTATATTTTTGTCGAGGTGATACAAGCTGGAGAAGGTGAAATCCCCACTGGGTTGGTAGGCTGCTTGTCGGGATTTTGTGGTTGTCCATCCTCATCGATCACTACCAACGGTGGTAGGTGGAAACTTTTTCCTCGGATCCACTGAGTATATCATTCGTCCAGTTCGCACGAGTCATGGAATGTAGCACAAATGTCTGACAAGTTACGACCTGAGACCGACGCGAGGTACCTGGTACTTCGCCATCGGTGGCTAAAGGTGTCTAGACCAAGTATCAGATTCACCTCAGCATATTCGCCAAGCTCACCAGAGACTAGTGTGGCCCCACTTCCTCGCAGATCATCCCGCCTGTGATTCAATACTGGAGATGATGTGGTACCAACACTGATCTTGGTATGGATAGCCATTAATTTGTGGAACAAACTAAATAGTAGACGTGCTCAGGCAGGTGAGACAATGTGGTAAAATGAGAAAGGAAACAAGGAAGAGAGCGTGTCTAGCGACACATAGTACGATTCGGAGTGGGGTTAGATTGGTAGAAAGAAATAAACAGAGAGAAGGAAGATGACAACAGGAAACCATAGAGGTCCACGGGTACGGAGTACTTCAGCTATAATCCGGACGATATACTGGATTCAATCATGTTGCAGGTACAGTACTACTAGAGTAGTACGAAGTTCAAGGTATGAAAATTTAGTACGCGCCGCGTAAATCGTGATGGACTGACTTGTACGGAGTAAGCATCATCCGTCTTCCTTTGGAAATGAGTGCTTCAGGGGGGAAAAAATCATTATGAGATATTAGTACGAAAAGGACACAAAAACATGCACGATGAAAGGGAAAAAAAAAAAAAAAAAAGAAAAAAAGAAATTTGGTTTACTATGGAAAGATCGACTGCTACTAGTCGTGTACAGTACTGAGAGACCATCAACGACTGAACCGGCCACACTCGTTGGCGGAAAAGAAGATAGAAAAGACCATCGATCATACGCAATGGCATGTGGGGACTATTGTCCATTAAGCTCAAGCGAAATCCCGGTTTCTGGAATCCTTAGCTGGATGCCATAATTCCGACGTTGGCAAATAACAGTCACCCAGCGGTGGTTAGTCAGTTCAGCCAGCGAGGTCTAGTCCATGACTGTCAATACCTGGGGGTGGGTGGGTTTTGACCCATGACGATCCTTGCCCACTTGTCGGGGACCTTCTGAAGCATTAAGTTGTCAACAACTTGAACTTTCCCGAGCCTCTTGGTTCCGCCAATAGGGACAATGCCATTGGTCTGGAATGTGGGCTAGTGGAAATAGCAGCACTCAGTGGGGCCGGATCGGCGGCGGTTGGACCTAACCAATGCATGTATGTACCTACTTTAGTACCGCTGGTTATAGTCATACATACTGTACGGAGTACTTACATACTACATACATACATACATACATACGTGACGTTGGGCACACATCTCCTGGTATGCACTAGTGTCGTCGGATCAGATCGGATTGCTCAGCCCCATGTCGATATCCGAAGTAGGTCCAGTACTGGCACTGGAACAATGGCCTCCAGACTGGGGAGCCAGCGCCCCCTCTCCCCCAAAACCCCACACAACACGATAGGGTGAGCCTGGTGTGTTCGCAGAGGTCCTCCCATGGGATCCTGTGTCCTACCTATCAGTCGGTTTCATGAAGCGATCGACACTCAATTAACTTTGTATTGATGATAGCACGCTAAGCCACAAGTGAGCCGCAGAAGCTGATGCATCAGAAAAATCGAGAGGGGCCACAATACGAGACTAAGAGCCACTGAGACGAAGTCATAATCAAGTTTGTATTTCTTTTCCTGGATTTCAATTCATGTTTAGTGTCTAGTAATAGATTATTTCATGTAGTGTTCAGCAGACAATGGACCAATCAGATCAATAAAATCCACATAGCCACACCTCAGCGTACAGTAACCCCTTTTTTCTGTTGGTTCCTCCCAAGGATGTCGTATTATTCAGATGTAGATTGAGAACCTCTTGAAGAACAAAGGAAATAAAGAAAAGAGAACAAAAGGAAGTAGAAAGACAAAGGAACATATGCAAAACGCCCAACTATAAGGGTAAGATATAAAAAGAAAAAGAAAAAAAAACATAGAAGATAGAATCGCGTCAATCGGATATAATCAGAGCTGTTTTACAGAAACGCCGCGAAGCGCCGACCTAGGCCGCCCAGGCCCCGCATGTCAGTGGCCATCTAAAGACAAAAGAAATTTCGGGTGTCAAAGGGTATCATATAAGGATCAACCCGTAATGTCCTTTCGTACTGTGAAACTTAATCGTCTAACACGTCAACACTGTATTCACGAGTATCCGGCATTGGATCATCTAGCGTTGAGCCGCGAATAGGGCGCCCATCCTGTGTAAGTTGTCCCCGGAAGTCCGGGTCGTAGTCTGGGCTGCTCTCATCAAGCGTGGCAACGTATCGGTTGCGACCACCCCGCTTGCTATGTGTTTTGGTATAATGGGCATTCAGGTTGTCACTGCGAGAGAAAGCACGCTCGCATTCAGGCACCCAGCAGACATGAGGCTTTTCTTTCGAGTGGCTCTTCATATGTCTCTTCAAATGCTCTTGCCTCTTGAAGCGACCTTTGCAACCGGGTTCCTTGCACTTAAACTGGACCTGTTTAATAATAGACGGAAGGTTCTCCAGAGACATATTTTGTCGAGAAGACTGCTTCCTGATCATCTTTCTTGAGGGATGACGTTGGAGGCGATTAAGACCGTCACGGAACTGGGGTGACTGCTGGAAGTCCTCCATATAGTCTCCGGTTCCACCGGACAAGCGGCTAATGGGCGTGTCGGGGCCAGATGCAGTTCCAATGGAGCATGAACGAATTGGCGTTGTAGGGCTGTGTGTCTTGAAAGTCTGAATAGACGTAGGGAACTCAGAGTACGAGGGCGGCGGAGTTACCGGACCGACCTGAGAGGGGGCAATGGTTTGAGGTGCAATGGACTCGGTGGCCTGAGGAATCCACGGCATCATGTTCCCCATAGACATAGATGGCGCCACCCGCTCAGCATGGTGGAAAATAGATCGCGATAAACAAGGATTGGTGGCGGCCTCTGGCAGATACGCGGCATGAGGCCGATAGTTGCTGCGAACCATAGGAGGGCAATGGGGCAGGGTGTGGGGGTATGGGAGGCTGTGTGTTCCGGTCTCATAGGTTTTCGGCGCATCCGAAGGAAGCCAAAAGTGCTCCACGTTATCATCGTAAGCGGACAGAAAGTCGGGCATAGGCATGCGGTCCTGTGCTTCCATGCCACCGTAAGACATACCCAGATTCTCATTGGAAGTCATCCCCGCTAAGCGGAAAGCACTTCGCATGGGCGCATTTCCAGCATGTCGCTCGTAGGCATGTCCTGGGTATGATCCAGCGTCTTGCCACCCAGGTGAGGCCAATGAGCCTTGGCTATAGATGCTGGTTGGGGTTGGTGTAGGGGAATCCATGGGTGAGAAGCTGGAAGTCATCGAGGGGCACTCGTTGGAACCCAATGAGTGGCAGTCAACTTCAACAGTGAGATTGTTCTGAGCTCTCATGTCTTCGCTGTGTCTGGGGTCACAGTCTTTCCGTTGTATGTCAATGTTTGTGCCTATTGAAGCACTGTTTAGTATGGATAGTCTTGGTATGCAGAGGCTCTTTTGTGCAGATGTCGGACGGTATCAAATGAATGTGAGAAGGTATGTATGTTATGACACAAGATTACAGTATCGAGAAAGTGCAGTGAATTGGTACAAGGAGGGGAAGTAAGACCAAGCAGGACAACTAGCAAAGAGTGATAGACAGTATGCGTGATGGTCTGACAATGAAGGACTATGTTGCCAAAAAGCACTAGGAGAAAGAATGAAGGAAAGTGGGCATGAGTTTAGAGAGAGAGAGAAAGGAAGGATGAAGAGAGAAGATGAATGTGAGGTTGAGGTTGGGGAATGGAGGAGGGCAGACGAGGTGAAATAAACAAATCGCTGGGGCATATAAACCGGAAGGGTAGAAGGACCGATGGCACTTACAAGTCGAGGCCATTGCTATTCTCGGAGAAGAGAGAGCAAGTCGAGACAAGAGTCAAAAAAAGAGTTCGAGGCGCGTCGCGTGCCTGAGAGACCGAAGCAAGGCTAGGAATGTAGACTATAGAGTTCCTCGAGTAACCGGGAACAAATGGTCCAACGGGTGTCCTAGCTTGGAGGAAGGTGGCCGGTTTTCGAGGAGACCGTTTCCTAGGAGCGCGAATGTCTCTGGATGAAGGACCGCGATAACGAGGATTGGCGTCAAGTAACAATTCTGAGTCGCGACGGGGCTTATTCCTGTGCTCTGAGTCGAGGATGGAGCGGTTGAAAGGGTCTCAGTTGTATAGTTATAAGGAAAGCAGGGAGGATAGGACCAGCAAGGGACGACGGTTCCTGGGAAATTGAAGATGCAAGTGAGGACGAAATGTCTCAGAGTTATTAAGGTAGATGAGAGCAGGATGGTTGTATTAAGATTAGAGATTGGAGATCCCGATCCTGGTCTTTAAGGTAGTTGATTAGTTGTTGGGTTAATGGGATGAAGGAAGATGAAGAATGACTCTTGGGGGGGAGTCAATGACCATATTATAGGATTGTATCGAAACGACAGTACAGAGTAGTAAAGCGTCGCAAAGCGTAGCATAACAGGCATAGAGAGGCCCGCAGAAAATAATAATAATAATTAATTAATTAAACAAAACAGAATTAAATAAAAATAAAATAAAATAATAATAATTAGGGAAAAAAAAAAGAAAAAGAAAAAGAAAAAAGAAAAAAAGCTAGAAAATCAGAAATCGAAAATAGACTCTTGTTCCTGTTGCCCTACAGACAGTAGTAACTTTCCTTTCCAACGAACTCCTCTCCTCCCGCCCTATGGAGCCCCCTCACATGCCATCCATCTGTTTTTTCATGAATTTTTTATTTTTATTTTTCTATTATTTATCCTTTACTAATTTATTCAATTATCCTCCCTTAACGAGAGACTAATAAATAAATAAAAAAGAACTTCCTCTAGTTCTGACTATCTACTTTGGAGAAAATCAAAAAGCCTACTTTTATTCTCCTAAGTTTATCGTCACTGAACCCTTTCGATTGACCCCAGTGGGCCCTCGTGAAACACAGGTATGGTTACTAAAGATGTACTCCCATCGAATTACCGGCCAATCTACTAAGTCATTTATTTCCCCATCCATCGTCACGATCGCCTGTGGAAAAATACGAAAACAGAGAGAGAAACAGAAGGAAAGTCAATAAAGGAGGAGGGTTGCAAAACTCGAACGCGAGTACGTACATGAAACGAATGGGTGTGAGGCAAACCCCCCATATTGGAATGCTCCAAGTCCAGAGTCTATTCGATCCGCAGCCACCGTAGGGGTCGACCATAGAACAATAATGGTCATCAGTAAAACCAAATAATATTAATTTCGACACATACCTGCGTACATCAGCAAAACTCAACCTTATTGATGGGGATCATCAGGTCTATAGCAAGTCACCCAGATTCTCGGGAATCTTCCCCGGTGTCTACTTCGTTGGTAGACGCTAAGATGCTCCGTCGCACCGGACTAACTCGCCTGGGTCGTAGTGCAGGTCTTAGTGTCCTACACAGAGTACTATGATTATCCACCCGGCGTACGCTAATGCTGCTTAGGCTCACCCCATGGATAAGGTATGGGAATCCTAAACTGTAACCTGTAAGACACTGGCGAAACCCTCTTAGGAAATCCAAATCAGTCAATTCGTAACTCTTGTCTAAGAAAAGTCGTAAAGGAATTCGGTATCCTCCGTGCCCACGATCAGCTAGCCGCAGGGACCCTGAATGATGATCAACGCCACCAGGAAATCTCCATGTGGAGAAGGGGGGTTGTTCGACCTCAACATTGAAACATTATTGACGATACAGAATCGTAAGGGGACAACTAATAAATCACGATGGATGAACGGTAGGGTTTCAAGCAATCTTGAAAACGGGAAGATAAAAACATTTTTTTCAAATGGTCATGATAAAAAGAAATGGTATGAACAAAATAAAAACTAAATATTCGAGAGGGTTCCACTAGTCCGCGAGAGTGAGGTCATGTCCATCCTCATCTTGTTCATGATCTTCATGCTGGCATATTTGGTGCACGGTTCAGGTACGCGACATGCATATTTATGGTACGCAAGAGTGCTAGTAGAAATATGGACGGCTTGGACGCCACCGCAGGCCCCAACGTTAAGCAATTATTATCGACTGTGTTCGGGTTTAAACGCCACCATCGCGACCACTATAATTGGGTAGCCCTCGAAAATTCAAAAGGTAAGAACGAGCGGGGTGGGGTAGGAAATAGAGTCCAACCGAAATAAAATACAAATACAAATAAAAATAAATGGGGGGTAATAATTAAAACCACATAAAAATCAAACGAGGAAAAGAACCAGGTATTCGAAGGCTGGACCTGCTACTGCTGGTAGTCGACTCGGTACCCCGTACTTACTACTGATTCGTATGGGAAGAACGTTCGGGCGGTTAAGAAAGGTTCCACCGGTTCAACATCGTTGCCCAAATCCCGTAAAGTCTAACCAAGGAGGCAATATATAAATACTACTTTGAATGCTTAATTACTTGTTTTGTCCGTGAATAGACGAAGGTGGATTTACGGCTTAATCGGAATTAAAGCCAGAACCGACCCCAGTGGGTAACTTTATTCATCCTCTCGCCTCAATGAATGCCACCCTTAAGGAAGAAACCCTTCGGCCGAAGGTGGTTCAGTCAAAGCGAGAGTAGAGGTTGGGATGAATGTGGCTCCCTTCGGGTAACCCCACCCCGGGGGATATCGATCATGATTCCATGGTTAGAGTCCAATAGATCGAGATGGCAGAGTCAACAACAATGATCTACAATGCGTGTTGGTCCGCAGGTACTCGCTAGCCTCCCGAATGCGCGCTCGGGAGCCATCAAGGAAAATGAATTGACAGTCAGGGAAGAACGTCGGGGTCGAGAGTGAAGCAGGGTAAGAAGCTCCTGGGGAGGATCTTGGTAAAAGTCTGTTCGTTGATAGTCGGTCTGACTCAAAACTGTAAGTCTGGGGACAGACGTTCCCAATCCCGGGACTCCATCTTTGATTTCCTCTGAGACCTTGGTACGTACTGTGAAGAGTGGACTGGAGCCTAGTCTCCATGATAATGGTATTATTATTCAAGTGGGACCGTCGATACCCGTCCCCATTCTTGCCAGGAGACCCGCTATACACACTAGACGTGATGTTAAGCTGACCATCTGTGGTCAGACGCACATCATCCGCCAAGACTCAAGACTAACAATGGATTTGGACCAGTCGAAGACCGAGGCATTGCTTGGTTTCTGCAGGTCTGAGATTCATGCCTTCCGTTTTAATTATTTCCATTTTCTTTTGACTTTTGCTTTTTTTTTTTTTTTTTTTTTTTCCTCCAATACTCGTTGTTTTCCCCATTCGGGCCCACCAGCCGCACCTATCGCAAGCCCACCCCCCTAAGGGCGAGGTGCTAACGTACCCATGCCAGATGTCTCCCTCTCAATCAGGAGCCCAGCCTACCACCGCCACTTCCACTGGAATGTGGGGTCCTATGTCTTCCTCATGATGATAGGGTCGAGCCAGTCGCTTTTACACTCTCCCACTGCGTCACGAACTTCGTGATTGGGATTCCAGCCTCGTTCCATCTTCCAAGAAAGCCCTGATTCATGTACTCGTAAATGGTTTCTCTTATCACACCCAATGATCACTTTTTTTTTGCCCCAAACGGCTGCACCATTGCTGGAGACTTGAGCAATGCATAGCCAAGTGGACTCCGAGTCACCGAGCCATTCGACCGCCTTTCCTGAAGCCGAGTTTTTGATCTGTCACGCGTCAGTTGGCGTTCGATTTAAACGATGAGGGGCTCTAATCGTCACGCGAGAATGAGGTCTCATAGTCGACCAGTCAACTGCCTGAGCACGTCGCTGAATTTCTTGGACTCAGTGCACCGAAGGCGATGAGACCAGATCGTACACCAACACAATAACCAACCGGCCACTGGAGGCTTGCGTGAGTTTTTTCCGAGCATCGTGGGCATTTCCCTCATGATCTCACCCGGTTTACGTACCAGCATATTTTGTGTAGCTATCCAGATACCACAGAGCTGTGGCCAAGTCATTGATTGCAGCTTAGTCTGTGACCTCACTGGAAGATCTCCTCTTGTTTCGCCGGCTATTACGTAGACAGATAGTTGTCTTTCTCCATCACTCGGTCGGATCTTGTTGGCAATGTATGCAACAACAAGAACCGATCGACAGACGCCATGTCACGTTCAGAGTCAAACAAGATCTTCGACACTCGAGTCGAATATGCATAGAACGAGCAGGCCGTCTGAGGGATGCAGCTACAGATAAGTGCGGTGTGTATACATCTGTCACGATCCCTGTTTATTTCCATTTCCTTTGTCACTGTTAGTCATTTATCTATCTTAATATTTCATGTATTTAAGCCTTCCTCATTTCTCAAGAAGTGAACATAGGGTTATGCGTGGATGGTCCGTTGGTGCCT